TGGCCTGTGGGACTCCAGAGGCAGCTGACAGGTACCGGCAGTCCAAGCGGAAGGTGGCTCGGGTGGTCGCCAAGGCAAAAACCCGGGCATGGGAGGAGTTCGGTGAGACCATGGAACAAGACGTCCGTACGGCTTCGAGGAGATTCTGGTCCACCATCCGCCGCCTCAGGGGGGGAAAGCTGTGTGCTACCAACACTTTCTATAGTGGGGACGGTGTGCTGCTGACTTCCACTCAGGACGTTGTGGATCAGTGGGCAGAATCCTTCAAAGACCTCCTCAATCCCACCGACATGTCTTCCAGTGAGGAAGCAGAGTCTGGGGAATTTGGGTTGGCCACTGTAATCACTGGTGCTGAGGTCACTGAGATGGTTAAAAAGCTCCTCTGTGGCAAGGCTCCAGGGTTGGATGAGATCCGCCCGGAGTTCCTTAAGGCTCTGGATGTTGTGGGGCTATGTTGGCTGACGCGGCTCTGCAATATCGCTTGGACATCAAGGGCAGTCCCACTGGACTGGCAGACCGAGGTGGTGGTCCCCTTATTTAAAAAGGGGGACTGCAAGGTGTGTTCCAACTACAGGGAGATCACACTCCTGAGCCTTCCTGGTAAGGTCTATTCAGGGGTTCTGGAGAGGAGGGTCCGTCGGACTGTTGAACCTCAGATTCAGAAGGAGCAATGTGGTTTTTGTCCTGGCCGTGGAACACTGGACCAGCTCTATACCCTTAAGGGGATCCTGGAGGTTGAGTGGGAATTTGCCCAACCAGTCTACATGTGTTTTGTGTATTTGGAGAAGGCATTTGACTGCGTCCCTCGGGGGGCCCTGTGGGGGGTACTCCGGTAGTATGGGGTACCAGGCCCTCTGATATGGGCTGTTAGGTCCCTGTATGACCGGTGTCAGAGCTTGGTCCGCAATGTCGGCAGTAAGTCCGGCTCATTCCCAGTGAGAGTTGGACTCTGCCAAGGCTGCCTTTTGTCTCCGATTCTGTTCATAACCTTTATGGACAGGATTTCTAGGCACAGCCAAGGTGTGGCGGGCGTCCGTTTTGGTGGCCTGAGGATCAGGTCTACTTTTTTCAGATGATGTGGTCCCGTTGGCTTCATCAGAACGTGATCTTCAGCTTTCGCTGGAGCGGTTCACAGCAGAGTGTGAAGCAGCTGGGATGAGAATCAGCTCCTCTAAATCTGAGACCATGGTCTTGATTCAGAAAAGGGTAGAATGCCTTCTCCGGGTCAGGGATGAGGTCCTGCCCCAAGTGGACGAGTTTAAGTATCTCGGGGTCTTGTTCGCGAGTGAGGGAAAACTGGAGCGTGAGATCGATAGGCGGATTGGTGCTGCATCTGCAGTGATGCTCCATTTACCGGTCGATCTACTTTCCTACCCTCACCTATGGTCATGAGCTTTGGGTAGTGACCGAAAGAACGAGATCGCGAATACAAGCGGCCAAAATGAGTTTTCTCCAAAGAGTGGCTGGGCTCTCCCTTAGAGATAGGGTGAGAAGCTCGGTCATCCGGGAGGGGCTCGGAGTAGACCCGCTGCTCCTCCACATTGAGAGGAGCCAGTTGAGGTGGCTCAGGCATCTGGTCAGGATGCTTCCTGGACGCCTCCCTGGTGAGGTTTTCTGGGCATGTCCAACCGGGAGGAGACCTAAAGGTAGACCCAGGACATGGTGGAGGGACTATGTCTCTCACCTGGCCAGGGAACACCTTTGGATTCCCCGGGAGGAGCTAGCCTAAGTGGCTGGGGAGAGGGAAGTCTGGGCCTCTCGCCTTAGGCTACTGCCTCCGCGACCCGACTCCGGATAAGCGGATTAAAATGGATGAATGGATGGACAGGCAGGCAAGGACAAATAACAATCCATCACTGTCCATACTTAACCAATAACAAACACTGTTGCTTCTATCTAAGGCGGGACCTTCTACAAAGGAAGTCTCAAGTTACAGGGGTGGCTGCTCGCTTCCATTGCCAAGCAGACCCTTCCCAACCCCCTACAAACAGCAGGCCGCATACCACAGAGCCAAGAGAGACGAGGGAAGAACTTTGTGGCTTACTTCTACTTCACAACATATGATTAACATGTGATTACTTAAAAAGGAACATTTTAGGCAGTGATACATTAAAAATCTTCAATAATTAATTAAAGGACCCTTATTGTAAAGTGTTACCAAATGTAGTTATGTTCTGTTTAACGAACTGCTTTATAATAAAATTCATCTGGGTTTAATTTGTCTTCATCAAATCATTTTTATTTAGCTGAAGATGCTTGTAAAGAGAAAATTACAGAAATATAGTTAATCAAATATGTATATTTAATAATAATTTATACTGATTTAAATACGAGGCTAATTAATAGACAAATTTGCATTTCAGTCATTTCAATACTGATTTTAGCAAAAAATAAATAACTAATCCATGCAGTGTAAGTTGTTTAAACTGAGACTACTATGAGGCATGCACAAGATAAAATCTATTAATGGTATAACCAACACCAAGAATAAAAATGTAACTGAAACAACATTAAACATAAACTCAAAAACACGAGCCCCATGAGTTTTGATACAAGACGGTGATCCTTGTATTTCAATGAGACTCGGGCCATTCCTGATGGCAAGTGGACGAAGAATAAACCGGGCGGTCATCTTGTTAGGAAACGTGTGGAAATTGTGGTGGAAAAAACTAAAAGAAAACTGGAGAGGTGGAGGGCACAGGGACTGCAGATGCAAAACAGGGATTAGGGGTGGGGGGTATCAGACTCCGGATCAAACGAAGCTTTCTACCTTGCAGGTCAGCTTTCATCAATGCAACTTTTGTCAGCAAAATAATAAGAAAGGAAAAGGCAGAGCATACCAGCTGTTAGTAAGAGCAGTGAGACGTCAGAGACGAAGAAACAGAAACACAGACTAGACGGAGGGGAGGATGTTTGTTCTCAGAAAGAGCCAGAGGGGAAACATCAGTCTGTATAATGAAGGCTGGGTTACAGTAAGATGAGCTATGAATGCAGCTTCCTTCCAAAAAAAAAAAAGTAAAGTGAAGTAAAACCATGTTATTTTATCAGACATGCGAGACCGGATGCTCCCTTTTGCTCTTTTAGCAGCAGCGATGCTACTCCATCACCACAGCCCAACAGACACGCTATAATCACGACAAGCAGCCATTGATTCTGTGTCGCACAAAGTGATATTTACAGCTCACAGCTGCTTAAGGAACTCAACTGGATTACATTTGTAATGCTGAAATATGAAAAAAAAAAGACCAGAAGTGCTCAGTGGTGACAGAGTGGATGAATTATTGAAAATTGCTGACTGATGCTGGGGGAAAAAACTGAAAGGAAGAAATCAAATATTGTCTCTGGATGTGGTGCACACATTAGACCGGGGAAATGATATTCATGCGAACAACAAAGGCTTCATATACAATTCAAAAGAAGTGCTTTGGGGCAAAACCTCAGATCCAGTAAGCATAGTGTAAAAAACAGAATAGGAATTGCAACTGGCAGCACAAATATGGCAAAGAGAATAATCAGAATAAAGCCAAGTGGAACAGAAATGATTGCCTGTGGAGGAGTGTTGCCGTTTGATGCTTTTTAACAGGATACTAAAAGACACTCAGGGTGTCAGATCACATGCCACAGGTTACTGATGTGACTTCTTCTTACCCATGGCTCACTGTGTGCAACTGGTTTCATTCTGGAACATGTTTGAGGCTGATTCGGTTGCAACATAACTGGCATTTCATTTCAAAGCATCCATAAAAAGTCTTTAAACTTTCACCAAGATTATTTGAAGAGTGAGCAAAAACCCACAGAGAACTAACTTTTTAATGAAAACAGACATATTGGTGTTCTTTTGCAGGATTTAGGACTGCTCACCTTCACAGCCTCTCTCTATCTGCCCCACACAGTCCAGAGCGTCGGACATCAAGTCTGGGAGGCGCCCATTCAGATCCATAGATGCCAGGCAACCTTGAAAACCCTCCTTGGCATGCACCAGTTTGGGCAGCTCCTTATACATCTCCTTAGCCACCCCACCGATGTAAAGGTTCCCTGTGGAGACCATGAAAACAGGACAATGCTGACCCCTAGTGGAAATAACACAAAGTATATATTTGTTTCAAATGAGGTTAAAAAAACAGGCTTAATTTCTTAGACCTTTTAAATTATGTTTTTTTTTTATAATTACTAATTTTGTATCTAAGTCAGGCATTCCCCAAATGTTTTGTTCATTCTTGTTCCTACTATTAAAGTTCCAGCATTCTTCAAAGGACAGCAATAATTGCACAAATTCAATTCAAGTTTAAAAGAGTTTTACTTTTAAAATGTGAATCTTTCAAAGAGATGTTATCCAAGGTTCTTCCGCACAAATGGGTCTTTCATTGAACTCCCTGCTACACATGCACATCATTAGTTGTGTCAAAAGAGCAGATGAATCCCTGCTCAAGGCTCCCTAAAAGCCGGTACTGAGTGGGATCCAAGCATTCAATGCAGCGTTTCTCCTGCTGGTACGCAGTGTTGGGAGTAACGCGGTACAAAAGTAATTAACTACTGCAATGCATTGCTTTTTGCTGTAATGTGGTAATGTAAGGCATTACAGGGAAAGAAAATGGTAATATTTACTCGGTACAATTGTCAGTAACGCGGTAATTACAACGCATTTTTAAACCAAGAATCAAGATGCAAGTTTCCTAAAAATTCAAATTGCGGGAAGCCTGAAAAAAGATCCTGTGTCCACATATATGACGTCATTTATGGACTCAGCTTTGCAGGCATTCTATGAGCAGAGAGGACGCAGCGGTAATGGCTCAAATACTCCAGCTGCGTCCTGCGCGCGGCCGCTGTTATATTTACAAAACCGCTCCACCAAAACAAAGTCATTTGTTTGCGATCGTTCATATCAGCCCAAATTCTCTAGTATTTCATGTACTTTTCAGCTGAGTTCATAATCTGTGCGCCGGTGATTTCAACTCATTGCTGCTGCAGCGCAGCACGAAGCTTTTTTATTTATTTATTTTTTTGCGTTCGGTAGATCCCTTTGGCTGATTAGTTAGAAAGTAGGAAATCTAGGAAACAGTTTTTCTGGAAGATGGAGGAAACATGCAGCATGCAGGAAGGTTAGAGAGAGAAAGGGCCGGAAATTATTCATATAAAATCAAGAAAACCAAACAAAGTGCTTGAAAAGAAAAAAAGTACCCAATACACATTTTTACCAGTGAAAAGCAATAATATATGAGCATTTAATATTTATACATGTGATAGAATCAGATCACACCAGAAGTCAGTCCCACATCCAGGGCCATATCAAGGCATTTGGGGACCAAGGCAAATATAGGCTTGGAGCCCCCACCACCTCACTCCCTGCTCAGTTAATATAAGATGGCAGCGTGCTGAGAGTACAGGTTGTTTATTAAATGAAAGCAACAACAATCATTTTAAAGCACTGTTTTTATATCTGACTGTTTTTAACAGCAGTCCTAGCTCAGATACCACATCACTTTCCACATATATGTCATGAGCTCACTGAGTGTCAGATTACCAGATTCATATTGAAGTTGTTTTGGTGAAAGTAACTTCAAGTAATGCAAAAGTAGTGTAATGCCTTACATTTTAAAATCAGTAATATTGTAATGTAATGAATTACTTTAAAATGAGGGTAACGAGTAATAAATAATGCATTACAGTTTTGAAGTAACTTGCCCAACACTGCTGGTACGCCATTTCGATCAGGAACCCACACCACTCAGTTCAAAAGTTCCAATCCTTCAACTAAAAAAAATATGTGCACAAACCTTTTAAGTCCAGGTTTTTAGCTCCTGTGGTTGTCTGTGTTGTGATCTTGGTATCAATCTTGACAGTGTGGAGGTTGTTGGTGTCCCTGGATATGATGACGTTGTGCCACTGGTTGTCGCTTAGAGGTTTGTTCGAATTGCCTTTGATTAGATGGGCTCCGTTCCCCAGGTCGGACACATAGTGAAGGTAACTGGAAGCAGGTATTCACCAGTTAGACCAAACATGGCAACACAAAGTCTTCAAAAGATTCAAGTAAAAAGGGGTGATAGAATTTTGTTATTTCATTGTCCAAATGAATAAGATGATTGAGATAAATTAAACAATTAAATGGGAAGGTTAAAAGACAATAAGTCATTTAGTTTGTCTTGATAAAATATAGGAAAATAAGTACATTTTCTTCTCCTTTCTGAAACCTTTAAGTGAGTATCTCTTGTTGCTGCAGCTGTTGGCAACACATCGTCACAAAAAAGGTGAAATGCATTTGAGAATCACACTGAATTAGTGTTTTTCACACCTTTTTGGTGTTTTTGACACCTTTGCACCAGCTTTTCTATGAGGCAAAATCATGTGTGGCATATGATGATTTTCTGAAGAAATTACAATAATTGTACAAATTTTCTTGTTGCAAAAACTCTTTGAATTATGTCTTCAATCAATCAATCAATCAATCAATCAATCAATCAATCAATCAATCAATCAATCAATCAATCAATCAATCAATCAGATTTTATTTATAAAGCGCTTTTCAAGCAAAGTGTGACTCAAAGTGCTTTACAGAATTAAAATGACCCCAAATTCTCATAACAGTTTGAAAACATTAACACACACACACACACACACACACACACACACACACACACACACACACACACACACACACACACACACACACACATGCACACGCACACACACACACACACACACACACACACACACACACACACACACACACACACACACACACACACACACACACACACACACACACACACACACACACACACACATCAGTAAAAATAAATATTCGGCTGAGTCCAGATGAGCCAAGTAAGGTATGGCAAGGAACTGCCATCAGATGAGCCGTCTGCCCCAGCAGCATCAGGTCTTCCATACTAAGTCAGGGCGCTCACCGTGCGTGCGCGTGTATGTGTGTGAGTGTGTGCGCGCCCGTCTGTGCGTGTGGGGGTCTTGTTCTGTGTGAAAACGAAGCGGTACAAGTGATAATGCTGCAGGATTTTCATAATTTATCCTTCTCAGCAGCAGCACTGCAGGTGCTCTCCATGTCCAAAATGTGCGTAAGCCAGGTCCTTAGTCAACTTGAAGTTGCGCACATTTTTCCGCTAAGTTTTCTTTCATAAATCCCAAATTTTGCGTGGAAAGTTGCTTACACAGTTTTCCGACCCCGTTTTGTGCGTAAGCAAGCTTGATAAATGAGCCCCCTGGACAGTAAAGAACAGGGATCCTCCAAAGTAAAAGACAAACAGCCCAAAATGAGATAAAATCGTATTAAGCTGGAGCGGATGGACTCCCCACAAAAGGTGGAGAGAGGTGGAGTAGCATTCACCCAGCATTACCTGGAAAAGGTCTGTTAGTAAGATTGGACTGAAACCACATAAGTGGTTAGGGTTAGACCCAGTGTTCCATAGTATCAATAAGGATATTGTTATCAATGGGGTAAAATGCTGATGATGGGTCAAGTAAAAACAAGAGAGCACCCTTGAGTCATCAGTCTTGTTTGTGAATGCACATTATGTGTAACGATTCCAGCATTCCCACCTTCCAGTTCCCACCAGACCATTCCCAAGACTCAAATTCCCAGCATTCCCTGCACTGGAATTCGTCTTTTCACATCATCACACTCATCCTATTTCAGGAAGTCCAGCACAACAATCATCGCTCAGTCTTGCTCCCTGTCCATGGCCTTATCATTCCCGTTTCATGTCGGGTAGAACAGCGCCTAACACGGTAGCGTGTTTTTACTTCAGTTCAGCCTTTTGCTTTCGCAGGGCATTGGCTCAATAGGTCACGCCAAACACCGGGAGCTTGCACGCTCACCTCCTTCACTGGCTTCTTGACTGGCGCGGACAATGATCCACACCGGCCGGTCACATCTCGCTTCGTTCCTGTCTGGTTCCCAGTTCCATGCCGGACCACTCAAGGCTCATACGTCCACCTCATGCAGTTACACCTCAGCAAGCACATCGGCTCAATAGGACACAATGAGCATTCTGGGCGTCCGCGCTCACCTCACTACTCAGCTTCCAAATCACTGTGGCTCATCCAGTCACGCTGGACAATTAGTTTTCATTCGCTTCGGTCACTGCGGCTCAGGTCCACGCCGGACGACCAAGAACTTCCACGTTCACCTCATCCACCTGCATCTGAACAGTATTCCTGTTCATTTATTTTGTGGAATGCCGCCACATCCTCCTTTCCCTTCAAGGCTTGTGCCTGTGTTCCTATTGTTAATCAGAAGCATTCCTGTGTTTGGGTCTTGCCACGCGCTACGACCCTCCTCTCTGCTCACTAGGTTGAGCCAAGGTGAGGAGCCTGACATTAAAAGTAAATGCATGTTACTGTTTACATTTTATCAACTGAGTTAAGTGGAACCAGTCGACATGACTTAGGTAAATTGAGCATTTAATTTCTTACAGAGCAGCGTAATGTCGATAAAAGGTCAGTTTTCATACATATTGACCTACACAGTGTCCGGTCATCGACTGATCATCGACTGATATAATTTAATTTTCTCAGCAGATTTTTAACTGTATCTTCTAACACCCAGCACAGATACTTCAGTGCGTGTTGACATTCCATGGGGACAAAATGTCAACCTATGTCTCCAAACAAAACTTTCCTCTGATAAGACTGCAGGATTCCACACTCTGAATAAAAAGTGACCTTTTACAGCTCATATTTAAATAATCATATGGTTGAATGAACCAGATGTTAAATGAAACATTTGAATAATATGTGCCTAAATCAATGAAGTTGAAATGAATATTGTTCTGACAGTGATCCATTTAAATATTATGATCAGTACTGTTTGATTTGACAAGTTAATCACTATCTACACTCATGCACAAGGTTCAGAAGATATAAATTACAGTTACGGTCACCTCTCACATAGGTATGAAGATTCTTTATTCATAGCACAACATTTTTGTATCTGATGAAGGTGTGGTTTCTGAGGGATGTTTGGTAAACGTCATCAAACATGTCAGATTCTGATTCGCAGAAATGATAAACTCAAGATTAATAAAACTAGGACAACTTCCCGAGTTATTCAGTTTCCAGCTGATACTCGAGAGTGGCCAATTCAGAAACAGCCTCTTTTGAACCATCTCTTTGACATACGGTCAAAAGCTGTTTGCACGCTGCAAAGCTGACACAGCTCAGACTCTTAAGAGTCCATCCATCTTTGATGCAACAACCTTCCTGCCTGTTGTGACCTGGAGACAACCCGAGACCGGACTGGTCGTACTGCGGTTTTTCTACGAACTTCGATGCCTTGGGGTCCACCAGACTTCCTGACATTCCGGATATACAATGGAGGTCTCCTCAGGGTACGTAGACACAACAGATTGCGTCTGGTGTTGTTTTATTAATAATCAACTCTCTAGTTTATAGCAGACAACTAATTCTTTTACAACAGGAACTCAGTTTCTTCCAGACGCAAAGGTTCTGATACACATCTACTTTACACTCCATCACCACACATCACATTCCATCACATATCATTATTCATAGCTTGTCATGTAGGCTATTATAATTAGTCTGGACAATTGTAACGTGATGGAGTTGCTATTCCACCGAAGGTTATTTACCCTCTCTCCACACATGCCTCTGACACAGAACTAATCTGCATGAGATATTGCCTCAAGGTCTCATGCATTTGCTTCTAAACTGCTTCTTTCCAGCTCAAGAAAAGAATGAAGAAAAATACTTTTTCCTTTTAATAAATCAAATAACTCTATTTTTAATAAAGCTAATCAAACAAAGTGTTAGGCAATAATAAGATGTGACCAATCTGTGAAATCAAAATATTAATTACTTTATTATAATCCTATAGAATATAATAAGTAATATGACTTTAAATGTTTCCACTAGGACTGATCTCACATAGCGTTAAGACATGACACATTGCTTTTACTGATCCAATCAGAATCTGCCAGATCTGACGGAGGCGTGGTTTTGGTGGTGCTTGGTAAATCTGTCATCTTTTCATTCGACCATAAATCAAAACATCCGAAGTATAAAACTATGCCCCCGTCATCTTTAACGCCAGTTCAAAGCGTTCGAGAGAAGTTGACGGAGTAGCCAAAACTTTCATCTTCAGCCGAAAGAACCAACGACAAGCTGGATAAACCTGTTGCCGTCCCACCTGCTGCAACGGTTCATTTCAGAATAACAGCTGAACCATCACGACCCCGTTGTGGGTCTTGTTAGATGCCGATAAACTGTCGTGACCCGGAAGTATCTAAAGACTGGTGGTCGGCTGCCGCGGATGTTTCTACAGGCTTCGGCTCCACAAAGGTCAAGCTGGAGCTCTACACCTCCTGATCTAGACGGGGACTTCCGCTAAGGGTACGTAGACCGACAGAATGGCGTTGAATGTGTTTATGAATCTCCTAACTAAAGCTTAGCGCGAAGACACCACCTTCATTTCCCATCAGAACTAATCGTCTTCAGATTTGCTGGTTCTGAGCAACATTCCACACTACACCATTCTCCGTCTCATTCACCTTAGTTACACCATACATTTAGTGTTAAAGTTAGTCTAGTTTTAATTTGTTTAGTAATAAATCTTTAAACTTTTAAAACCTGACTCACTCTTCTGTTGTCTCTGAATTAATATGAAGTGGTTACATAATCCCTGCAATAAAAAGTTCCAATCTTCTGGTTAAACAGTACCCACAGATCCATAAGGTTGATTTCATATTTACTATGGAATCTTATGTCTTATGGCTCATTAAATAACATGTAAATTAAACCATTACAGAATGGCGAGCCAACCAAGTTTATTTTAATTATATACTGGACTGTCTGAATTAATACGAAGTGTGTTATGGTCCCTGAATAAGCAAAGAATCCTAAATTCTTCCGGTTAAACATTCAAAGATCAATCAGCTTGATATTCTATATTTATATAGAATTATCACATCTTATTGGTCATAATTAAACCCCATAATTCACTACATAATAACATTACAGCAGTCATGTTTGACTAATATCTGTATTTCAGGAGTCTCAAATGCTTATTCTTGGCAGTTAACAGAAGAAAAACCCATCCATGCTTTTTTCCCCTCACAGACAATTTATACTTTAAATGCTCATTTAATTAAAGGGCATGAATTAAATGTTTAAGACACTGAAAAGACTAATTTCAGGCATCACCAAAGGTTAATTTATAACGACGTTTCAGCAGTAAAAAGCACCCGTGTGTTTAGGATTCTCTTTCATGTTGGGTATTTTCTGTGGCTTTATGAAGATCAAAAAGCACAGTACTAGCTGACAGCTTTTCTTTTTATAAAGTCAACATTCTGGCATGGAGGTGATAAGAAAACACTCAATTCTCAAGTAGAAAAAAAATTAAGAAAAGTTGAAAAATATATGAGTTGCATTATTAAATTCATAATCCGTTTATATGGAGATTTCTGAATAAACAAGCACCACCTACGAAAGCCAGAAGGTAATTTCATGCAACAAAAAACGTTTTAATGCCAATAAACACTTATTTATTAAATTGTTTGGCATCATGCCTCCCTTCAAATATGTATATTGCTGTTTTTTACACCATAATTGTGAATAATCCCAATTCACCCTAATCCTAACCCAAATGACACAACTTGCAGTGACCAAAGTGCTGCACAAATAAAACTAAATAAAAATAATTATATATAGCAAATTAAATGTAAAATCCACATGAAAAGAAAAAAACACACCAAAGAAGGAAAATTGACATTAATCTGAGATAATAATAATAATACAAACTTTACATGCATTATTTTAGTTCCCTAGATTGAAGCAAGGATCATCCACGTACCCCTTGACCAGCTCCACCACGATGAAGTCGTTTCCATCCCCGCTGTTATACAGGATCAGGCCATCGGGGGAGGTGGTTTTAAACTGAAAGAAAAGGTGCATGGAGTAGTAGGCCTGCAGAGTAGTGAGCGTCACATAACTGGAGCGCGACTTGAAGGTGACGGGATCGGCGATGATGTTCTTGAAGCCGATCATGGCATTGAGCTCACAGTAATCAATGTCACCATTTTTGCAGAGGTCTATGTAGGCCATGCCATTGAAGGCGAGGCTCTGGAGGTGGCCGATGAAGTTGGAGGGCACCAGGGACATGAAGCGCTTCTCCGTCACTATGCCTGTCTCTATGTTATGAAACTCCAGCTGGGTGTGGTCACCTGCCATTTGACCTTTGATCCAAAGAAGGGGAGGAGGGAGAGAAAGTGTTATTGGTAGTAGATGAAGATGAGGATATGAAGGGTTCCCCTCCATCTTTTCTATGACTCTGAATGTCTAGAGGAAGTTAAAGTCTGTGGAAGTGAGGAAAAAAAACTTTGTCCATCATTAAGAAGGATGAATAGTACCTTCTACAGGCTGCAGATCATCTACCGTCAGTTTCAGACCCTTGCCTCTCCTGAACACTCGTACGGTGTGCCACTCGTTATCGTTCAGATTCTGACCCGCAAAAATAGTCTCTGGACCTTTGCCTGTGGGACAGTCCAGACACCGATTAACAGGCGTGGACACACACACACACACACACACACACACACACACACACACACACACACACACACACACACACACACACACACACACACACAACAGAAAGGTTTAATAATAGAAGGCATGGACAGAATCAGAGAAAGAAAACAAAAGAACAAATGAAATTGTTGGACAGAGGCTGGAAACATTAAGGTAAACATAGTTAATGGTCCTTAAAAAACACACTGCTCTGAGTTGCATTTGCAGCACCATTAGACATCACGTCTCTAAAGTCGTACCGAACTCCATTTTTCTTCAACCAAAACAGTAATCAGGACGTTATAACAGGATGCATTTTTTTTATTCATATATAAATCCTCATAGATGTTTTCTAAAATGGCCATAAAGAAATTACAAGCTTGCATGTTGTCATTTCTTCTGATTCTCAGGCTTTTTCTTACTCTCCACTTGGTGGCAGCAGATAACTACATGAACTAACTAAAGCCTCCAGCCAAAACATGATTCTCCATCTTGTTAACCTGCAACAGAGCGACTCACTATTCCTCTAACACTGACTGCATGAAGAGAAATGGTGATTCAAAAAAAACTAAATAAATAAAAACTGAATTCTTGACTAAAAACCAAGCATAAAATGAAAAATGAACAATTCTCAAAATCAGGTACTTAGTCAAAAAAAGATTACAAATACAGAATGTGAATTAAAAAAAAAGATATTAATCTATTATCTGTGGTTTGACCCATAAATACTCCATTTAGCTAAAGAGCAGCATATTAATATTGTAGAAGGCGCGAGTCTCACTGCTAGTAGGCAGTGATCAGTGGTGATGTCATTCACTATTCCTGGACCATAAAACCATAAAAGAAGTTTCAAAAGTATTCAAAAAAAGGCAAAAATCTACCTTTTTAAAATCCAAATGCAAATTAAAGAAATCTCCAGGATGATCCAACTTTGGCAAAACATCTTTTTATTGCATTTTCCATGTAAAAAAAAAAAAAAAAAAAGATTTGCCTTTATGCTCAGATGTGTCCCTGCTCCGCAGACATAACAAAACAGGGTGAAAAGGGCATGCCACTGTGCCTGTATTAAAATCCCCAAGCTCCAGTTACATCAGCCGTTGTGGGGAGCATCCCAGAATGGTGCCAGGTTCATCCACCTGAACCTATTTATTGCTATTTATGCCCTGCATTTTGACAATCTTCAAAGCTGCAGTGCAATGTGTATGCAAATCTGAGGGTGCCAGAGCACTGGGGCACAGTCAATCTCAGAGGCACGGTTCTGCTTTGTAAGCACCAAACACTGGGGCGGGATTGAAACCAGACGACTGGTGAGGGATTAAGGAGGGGAGATATGAAATAATGGGATGGAGTTGGACTTGCAAGTATGCTTGATCTTTGCCTTCCATCATTTTGTCCTTGTTGCTCTCCAAGGAGAGGAGTGTGTGTGTGTGTGTGTGTGTGGGGGGGGGGGGGGGGGGGGGGGGCAATATCATGCAGACATAAATTTCTGTTCAACATCTATGTCTGCATCAGTTAATGTTTCTTTTATTTCAGTTTGGTCCAAACCAGGCTGTCACCAAATGGTCAGGACTAACTTTCGTCTCTGATTTGCTCTTTAATTTGATGCTGGATGTTCTTAATCTTTCATATGGCACACAATTGCAGTGGTATATTTTGGATAACGCATCGTCATCCGAGACCATAGTCTTGAGTCGGAAAAGGGTAGAATGCATTCTTCAGGTCAGGGATGAGGTCCTGCTTCAAGTCGAGGAGTTCAAGTATCTCGGGGTCTTGTTTACGAGTGAGGGAAAGATGGAACGTGAGATCTATAGGGAAATTGGTGCTGCGTCTGCAGTGAAGTGGGTGTTGTACCGGTCTGTTGTGGTGAAGAGGGAGCTGAGCCAGAAGGCAAAGCTCTCGATTTACCGGTCGAGCTACGTTCCAACCCTCATGAGCTTTGGGCAGTGACCAAAAGAATGAGATCGCAGATACAAGCGATAGAAAATAGTTTTGTCTGCTGGGTGGCTGGCCTCTCCCTTAGAGATAGGGTGAGGAGCTTTGTCAACTGGGAGGGGCTCAGAGTAGATCCGCTGCTCCTCCACACTGAGAAGAGCCAGTTGAGGTAGCTCCAGCATCTGGTTAGGATGCCTCCTGGACACCTCCCTGGTGAGGTGTGAGGTTTTCCAGGCATGTCCAAATGCTAGGAGACCTAAAGGAAGACCCAGAACACACTGGAGGGACGCCTCTCAGCTGGCCAGGGAACGCCTTGGGATTCCCCTGGAGGAGCTGGAGAGAGGGAAGTCTGGGCCTCTCTGCTTAGACTGTTGCCCCTGTGACCCAACCTCAGGTAAGCAGACGATAATGGATGGATGGCACTCACAAGGCCTTTTGGCCATTGCGAGTTGTAATAATTATCACAAGGTCTGTGAAACAAGGGAAATCCCTAATACCAAATTACTATCGTCACTGCAACTGTTCTTCCAATTTTTAACTATCATTTTGACAAATTTTAACCAAGTCCTCAGTGTAGACTCCTGATCTGACCCTTCTGAAACAATAACAATTGTTTTAAAATAAATCTAACATTCGGGATAAGCTTGACTAACATCCTGACTCAACCCTTTAGCAGGAATGCCATAGGCATGGACACCTAGAGGACATCCTGACCATCTTTCCTCACTCTGCTGCCTTCACTGTCCAAGTTTAAATTGACTTTCCCTTTTCTATTAATGTTCATTTTCTACAACAAGAAGAACCATGTTTTTATTACAGTCATTGCTGTCCTTACTTTTGTCTTTTCCGTTTACAATTTTTGTGTTTGTCTCTTTTGAAGCCCATCTCTCTCAAAACAGATACTTGTTTTTGCTAAAAGGGAGTCCCTCTGCTTCCCCGTCACCCTGTGCTTTCTCTAAATGAGAGACTTTATGCAATTTATTTGTTTCTTTTAAAAGAGTATTTTTACCAACTGTTATTCTACTAAATCTGATTATATCACAGTTTAATTTAAATAATGTGTATGACTAGGACAGATCTGGACCTTATGTGAACTGGATTTGTAATTATTTTGTACATTATTTGGGGTTCTTTCTTTTTAATTGAGCCTTTTCCATAACTACAGGTAGTTTATTCCATGGTTGCTTAAAGGAGAAGCTACATACTACCAAAGGGGTTAAATCGTGTTTTTCAAAGAGAACCATGATTAATAAAAAGTACTTTTTCAATAATACTCAAACAAATTTACCAGGCTATAACAGGTTGTTACTTTTTTCCTTCCTTCCTTCTTTTTTCTTTCTTTCTTTATTGAGCCCAGGTATTGTGTCTGCAGTGATGGATCAATAATAATCCCTACCTGCCTCCCTGACCTCAGGTTCACATGAGCACGGCAGAAATATTTCACTGTGCAACGTTGGAAGATGTGATTTCTGCTCATTCAGCTCACGCTGGCTTTAACTGGGGTTATACGGGTGTTGTCTGCCTCAACACAGTCACTCACACAGGTGGCGGGAAAAAAGAAAGCACTGGGCAAGCATTATGCCACTGGGCTGAATTACTGATAAAAATCACACCCATAGCAGCATCATAACTAGTCGCTTATTTATCCCAAATAAAACAGCATTTGAAACAGAAATGATGCTATTGAATTTGGATATGAAAGGATTTTGAAAAGCCAGTAGTGGTTTTATGTAAATTTGCAACAATACATGGCATTTAAGTTGCAATATGTAAAAATGAAGCAAGAATGACATCTTGTGGTCAAATGTGGTTACTGCAGCCCCTTTTTATAAACAAACATCATTTTCTCACTACCGTTCCATGAGTTTCTTTGCAGTTGCCAGTTACAAATCAGCGGCAAATTCTAGATGACGAGAGAAGATGAGTTGTACACAGAAATTTGATAAGTAAATAAGTACATTGTCATATTTGGTGTTAGCACTCTTGAGTGTTTTGTGGTAATGAGCACTTATCACATTTATTAGGGTATGCTTCCAGCATTAAAGGAAGTGTGGGTATTACTACTTGCTGTTAGCTTGCTGATGTAGTTCTGAATGACTCTTTAAAGGAAGTAAAATGCCATGATTCACTCATTATTCACTTCACACATTCATTTCACAGTAATATTGAGTTGTTGGTAATTGAAAAGGTAATGTGAGATATTTTTAGAACTAACTATTTGCTTCCAATTCATCATTAGCATCCTTAGCTCAACATTAGCCTCTAGCTTACTTCACCGGATATTAGAATAAAACAAAAATATAATGTGGCTTCATAGGGGTACAAGGAATAACTTCTGGGTCACTCCTGTTTACTGGCTTTGGTTCTTTAAAGAGGGACTGCACACTGTCAGAAAATGTAACTCTACCCCTAGTCAAGATTTGAAAAATGCTATAAAAGTGGGCATTGCCAGGAGGCACAGAGTGGCATGGCCAAGTGTGGGGAATTTCCATCCTGGGAGGGAGGGGGAGTGGAAGGAGACTGTACCAATGATGTGAAATTGTACCAGCCCCTGTCAATCACAAGTTTAAAATGCAGTAACTGCTGTTCTGCCACAGGGGGCAGCACTAAGACGTTTTTAGACCTTGATTCTAGATTTAATCAAGTTTACACAAACATGTCAAAAATGCACAGAAACAGAAAGATTGCATTTGTAAAGACCCAATTATACAGTTTATAAGAAAAAAAACGTTATTTTGGGGTTTAGTTACCTTTTAAACAGCTCTGAGGCTTTTGCTCGTCAGGGTCAAATTACAAATACCATTGATGCAGAGTTAGATGGCTAGAGACATGGCAACCTCTTAGGCTCACAAACTGTAAACCATAACTACATCCCACTTTAATTTTTTTGAAAGGACAAAAACTGACAACCCCCCAGCTGGCTGGCACCTTCCTTCCAACATGACTGAGGTATTAAGACTGTTTTGAGATTATTTCACTGTAGAATTTTTACATACTGCTCCTCTAAGTCATCATTGCAAATAAGAGAGAA